TTTTTTTTTTCAAGTTTTTTGTTTATTTATTTTCAAATTTTGCATCTTTATTTTTCTAAAACACCTCATACCCCTGCAAAAAACAGAAATTCATTTYTAAAAAATACAGGTGAACTCAGGGACCATATATCTGATGATAAAAAATGACCAAAAAAAAAATCCAGCTTTTCTTTATATATATATATTTTAATTTCTTTAAATCGAATTTAGTTTTTGATTTTTTAAAAATTCTAAACAAAGTCGGATTCCAAAACAAAAAATATGAGGTTGTAGGGCTTAAAATTCCCTAGAACCTTAATTTTTTTTTTTTTTTGGCCTATTATTTAATTCAGGAAAATTCTGGTAAAATCATGTGAGTGGCGCGGACCAGGTCGGCCGCGGAAGCGGACCCGTCTGCGTCCGCCATCCGAGATCGGACCCGCGGACGCGTCCGTGGGTGTTACATAGCCATCCATTGAAGGAGGGTCTTGTGACCGTCTGCCCGGGAAATCCGCTGTGGAGGCTGGAGTGTAAACTGCCAGCTTTGACGAGTGAAAGATCGGGTGGACCGTTAAATGCGGGGGAATCTCAACAATGAAAGATGGACCTGCGGGGCCGTCGCCAGCTGCTGAAGTGACCATCCATGGTCCAAACCACTTAGGGAGGAGATTGCGCGAGACGTTCTGCTCGAGCGCGAATTCCTCGGAGGCGACCCCAAACTAGGTCGTCAGCACGAATTGGACATGGGATGCAACGCCGGTTCGCTTGCTACTGCATACAGACCTGAGCCTTTTGCATGTTTGCGGGGGCTTTGGCCAGCAGTTCCCTGTACTTCCGTGTAGAAGCAGGGGAGCAAGCAGCGTCTATATCGGCAGCCCGTGGAAGCAAAATGTCTGCGAAGATACGTCCTTTCCGTCCACCATGGTGCAACTCGAATGGAGTCACGCCAAAAGTCAAGTGCACCGAAGTGTTGTAGGCGAACTCGATGTTGGGAAGGCGGTCCACCCAGTCCTTCTGATCCGGACGGATAAGCGTGCGGAGCATCATCTGCGCAGTCTGGTGTGCACGTTCCGTTTGCCCATCCGTTTGAGGATGCCATGAGGAACTCGGTTTCATGCTGGTGCCGGATTCCACCATGAGTGTCGTCCAAAGGCCGATAGGAAACGAGTGTCGTGGTCGCTGACGATGTCTTCTGGAACGCCGTGGCTGTAAAACCAGCCGGTATGCAAGAGTCGTGCGAGCTCGGGAGCCATCGCATGATCCTTGCATGGAAGAAATCGAGCGTACTTACTAAAATGGTCAACGACCGTGAGAATGCCATCATGGTATTCGCCGAGGAGGCGAGTGCGCAAGATGCGGTCTTGGGGAACACACAACAAGTCCTTGCCTCGTGTGTGAAGAAGCAAGTAACCGTCGACAATGTGGTAGTTGCTTGCCGGCAGTTGATCCGATGATAAGTCCGCATAGAGTGTGGAGAATCCCGGATCTGACTTGTAGCCGTTTAGGGGTTGCAGGTTCTCGTCGAGGCCAAATGTGGAATGCACCAAAGATCAAGTCTTTGCAAGAGAGCATCCGCTGCCTTGTTCGAGGGACCCAGAATGTGCTTGGAGGTGAAGTCGAGCTCGTCAATGAAGTACATCCATCGACCGATCGTGCTGCTCACCGTGTCTTGCGTCTTGTAATACGTCAACGGATTGTTGTCCGTTGCCCACGTGAATCGCCGACGCCCGAGAAGAAAGTGACGCCAACGCTTTAGTACCGTGACAAAAGCTAGGAGCTCCTTCTTCCTCGCATCATCAAGAGTGTTGATGGGTGGCACCTTTTGACTGAAGTACTCAACCGGATGTCAGTCTGTGTCGTCATGTTGTTCCAAAACCGCGCCAATGCCATAACCGGAAGCGTCCGTAGTCACTTTGGTGGGCAATGTCGGGTCATAGATGCTTGAGACGGGAGCTTGAAGCAAAGCCGCCTTCAGCGTGTGAAACGCATGCCGGGCCTCGTCGCTGAACACGAAGGGCACCAAGGGGGACTGAAGTCGCGACAATGGTGCAGCGATGCATTGAAATCCTTTGACAAAGCGCATGAAGTAGGATGCCAAGCCGAGAAAGGAGCGGATGTCGGTAGTACACCTGAGGTCCGACCAATCTTGAATAGCTTGTACCTTGTCCTCGAGCGCACGAATGCCTTGCGGCGTGACGAAATGGCCTAGGTACTCCAGCTCTTGCTGGGCAAACTCGCACTTGTCTCGATTTGCCTTGTACTTGGCGATACGAAGCCGCTCCAATACGGCGCGAAGGTGCTCAAGATGCTCGTCCAATGACCGACTATAAAGTAGTATAAACCAAGATGTCATCGAGGTAAATGAGTACGGAGTGGTTGAGTAAGTCGCGAAATTCCGTCGTCATAGCCGCTTGGAAAGTAGCCGGGGCATTGGTGAGACCGAAAGGCATGGCGATCCATTCAAAGTGCCCATACCGCGTCTTGAATGCGGTCTTGTACCGATCTCTTGGCTGAATCTCGATCTGGTGATAATTGGACTTGAGGTCCAACTTGGAGAAGTACTTGGCGCCGCCTAGTCGCTCGAGAAAATCATCGATCCGAGGGAGAGGGCCGACGTTCTTGATCGTTTGCGCGTTAAGTTTCCGATAGTTGATGCACAAACGAAGGTCCTTGTACTTCTTCCGGACGAAGAGAACGGGAGCACCATATGGCGAACAGCTAGGGCGAATCCAGCCCTTGGCCAAGAGGTCATGTAGTTGAGCCCGAAGCACTTGAAGTTCCTCTTCGCTCATGCGATAGATACATCCGCGCGGAGGTACGACGTCGTTCGCGAGAGTGATCCCGTGGCGTATGGGCCGATCCGGTATGACTCCGGCGGGAGCTTGAAAGACATCCTCATAGCTTTCCAACCGCTTAATGATGCGTGGGTCCGACGTATCCGTCTTGGGCTGATCACCGGGTAGGAGGGCGTGAAGAAAACATATGCCCATCTTCTCGATGTCGTTCCGCCACATGGATTGGTGAATGCTCGTCGCAGATACCACGTGACAACCAATCGAAGGATGAGGAAGCGGCACTGTACACGGGACTAGTTCGCCGCGCCGATCACGAACGTGAACGGTGCGTCGATGGAAGTTCACCGGAAGGTCTTCGCTTTGCAGCCACGACCTGCCTAGGATCATATCGAACTTGGTGTCCAATATGTCGAAAGACACGGCCTCGCATGCTAGCGGGGAAAAGTACACGGGCACCAAGTCAACACATCCGTCGATTGACTTTTGCGTGTGACCATCGACCAACGTGATGTGCGTAGGCTGACTTTTTCTTCGAACGCGCGAGCCCAGCCCGACACGTGCCATGAAGTCTTGGCAGATGTACTTGCGAGTCGCTCCACAATCGATCAAGGCACTGGAGGTCGCCTTTCCGATCTGAATGCGGATGTAAAGGAGCGGCGTGTCGTTGTCGACGTACTGTTGTGTTGCGTACTTGTGGTCGATCTTCGCAAGATAGTTACGAAGGTCAATAACCGCTACTTCGTCGTCCGTCGACGGAGCTGGTACTGCAGCGTGCAAGTATTCACGTAGATGTGCCATTAAGGCATTGCAATGCGGAGTTGGCAAAGAACCGGTGGAGGGAAGAGGCAACCATTGGCGAAGCAACCGGTTCGTTGTCCGACGACGGAACTACCGCGCATACACTTGAATCTTGCACGTGGAGAGGTTGGATCAACGGCGAGACCAGCTCGACAACATAAGTCTCGAAGTCAATCCATGAACTTGCGACTACCACGGTGTCCCCAATGTGAGAGGGGCTGCTAGCAAGGCAGCCGACTCCGGCGGACTGGGAAGCGTTGCCGCGACACTTCCCGCGGTGCTCAGTTTCCCAAGCCCGGACGTTTGACATTCTCCTTGTCCTTGTCGAGGCAGGCGCTAGTGATGTGTTTGGTGTTGTTGCACCACAAACAACATCCCCATTTCTGCCGTAATTTGAATATTTCTTCGGTGATGCGAAATTTCATGCATGGTGTCTGTCGTGCTCCATCCGCCGACGCTGGTTTCGCCTTTTGTTCTCCCCCTCGGGGTCTTGAGCGTTCCGGTGGTATCGCTGCCGCCACATCTCCGTCACTTGATGTAGAAGTGGCTGAGTGGTCCTCACTTGTTCCTTGATGGACTGCTGCTACTTTCGGCGTCCGTTGTCCCTTTCGTTTCTCCACATAACCGAGTTGTTGGAGGGTCTCATTAGCCGCACGCCGGTTAAATTGTATAAGTTTTGTAGCTTTGGCGATCATGTCGTCAAAGTTCTTATACTCGAATTCTCTGCTGAGGGCAGATGTCAAGGCGTCGCAAGATCGGGCGAAGAACTCGCATCGGATTGAGTCGAACGGTAGGTTCAACTCCGGGGTGGCGACGAGTCTTTTCCGCTCCGTCAGCCATTCCCGCGAAGGTTGTTGGCCCTGGAAGATGTGGAAGATCTTGTTCAAGGCGTGACGCTTGTCATTGTTCACCATGAACCGGGTCTTCCACTTCTTTTCAAACTCCTCCCACGTGATCTTCGTGTGGAGGGTGGTGATGGTACATTCGAGCGTGACGACCATGTGTGTCATGAATGCTTGCGCCCCGCCTATAAGTTGGAGGTACAATGCGTCCATCCACCGTAAGGGCGGAGTATGATGTACGTCGGCCTCTGCGTTGAATGCCATCCACCATTGCAGCGGATCCGTCTTATGGTAATCGTCGAACTTCTCGATCTTGAAGTTTTGCATCTTCCATTCCTTGGTTGCTGCTCGTTGCTGGACTTAATCGCTGAGCGTCTGCAACTGACTGCTGACTGTCGAGATTCCGGCAAACTTGCCGATGTCGCCAAGGGATGCGACGATGTGATTGATCCGCTCATCGAGTTGTTTGGCTTGTGCGGCCAAAGATGGGCTGCTGTTTGAAACTGCACCGCCCCGTGACTCGACTGCGGACAGTAGTGCCATCCCGGCATCGACGGAGTCCTGCTGTCGGTCGTTGATGGCCTGCTGTTGGCTGTCGGCGGCATTCAGCATGTCGGTATCGGCCTGCAGGGCAGTTATGTTCTGATCCATTGCCTTGAAGTGGCCTTCATGGCGGATGAGTACCTGCCGTACAGCCAACAGTTCACGTTGCTGCCAATTGCACGTGTACAACAGGTTCTCAATCAAGATTGTTGTAGTTTCCCTGTTTCTCTCATCCTCGGTTGGTTCTTCTTGTTCCTCAATTGCTCGGAGTGCTGCTGTCGAAGTACACTGCCGTATGCGGCTTCTTCGTTGAGAAGGTTCATGGCAGCCTGGAACCACGCCTGAGTCTGACTTGCCTCTAGCTGCTGCTGCTGCTGCCGTGCGACTGCTGCAGAGTCGACAACGGCCTTCTGACGTGCTGCCTGTTCCGCTTCTTGCTGGAGTCGGATGGCTTCCCGTCGGGCGGCATCCTCCTTCTCCCATGTGCGGAGTCCGGTGGCAGTGGTCTCCATATACTGTTGGAGACGCTCGAGAAACGTGAGTGCGTCTTCATCTGCCCGTTGAACTGGCACAGGAGGGGGAATTGGCCTCTTGGGACTGCCCGACATGTTGTTGTCGGCATGGTCGGCTGCAGCCATGGCTGTGTGTCGCTTGCGCGGGATCTGTGGTGCCTTGGATCCCTGTTGGGGCTTGGCTGCCTTGGATTCGCGCTCTGCCAATCGTTGGCTGCGGCGCATTTAGTGTCCGGCTACACGTTGTTGCTGACGTGGCACTCGACTTACATGGCACTCGGCTGACGTGGCACTCTGCTGACGTGGGCCTGTGATGACGTGGCACTCTGCTGACGTGGCACTTTAATGACGTGTCACTCTGCTGACGTGTCACTGTGTTGACGTGGCACTTGTGCTGACGTGGCACTTGTGCTGACGTGGCACTTTGGTGACGTGGCACTCTGCTGACGTGTCCGAAGACCGCAGTCCGTAGGACCGAGAAAAGGAAAGAGAAGGTAGGGGTGGGAAGAAGGGAGGGCAGGCAAACAATGCACAGACAGTCCCGTTCTGGATGAGCGTGCCTACGTTGCTTAGGCTACAACCAAAAATGAATTCGTTAGAAAATAGACATAATGTAATGTCTTATTTTAATGAATAACATGTTCTTCCCTCCAATGTATATTTTATATATATATATATATATACAATATATGTACGGAGGCCCCTAAGCTGACCCCTGAACGTTCGGGCGTTCGGGTCCCCGTACGGGGCCCGAACTTAAAGGGGTTCGGACGCCGCAAAAAACTATTTTTGGACCTAAGTATTATTATTGTTTTCTAAATTTTTTTTCGTGAGTTCTCTCTGATGCAACGTATCTCCCTCTAAATTTTGAAGCCATTTTGTGTAGCCAAACAAAAATGAAAAATCGGCAAAGATGGTGGTGTCAAAACTTGCTTGCCCACCTACTAATTTGTCTTTTCTCTCTTTTTACTTTTTGTTTTTCCTTTCTTTTGGGGCATAAAAAATTTTATTATTTTTTCAAACTTTATTTGTAGATTCTCTATTATGTCAGGTACGCATATAACAATTTTCATGGAATTTTTCGCAACAAAAAAAAAATGAAGAATCGCCAAAGATGGCGGTGTCAAAAACCTGCTCGCCCACTTAATAATTTCATTCTCGTTTTATTTTTTCTAATTTTCATTATTATTATTTATTTTTAGTATTTGATTTTTATTTCAAATTTGGTAAAGAATTTGGACGTAACGTTGAGGCAAATGTTGTTCAGTTTATTCTTCTGCATAACATATATTTTTGTTCAGATTTTCATTATTTAGTTTTCAGATTTTCAAATTTGGTAAAGAATTTGGTAACGCGTCAAGAGGGGGTGCCGAACGTTCGGGCGTTCGGGTTCGGGCATTCGGCCCGCCTTGAACGCCTCCAACCCTATATGTAAATATATATATATATATATACATATATATCGTCAAATAGATATATATATATAAATGTATATATATATATATCGTCACAAATAGAACTGCCCGGTAATATATATATACATATATATATATATATATATATATATATATATANAATATATATATACATATATATATATATATATATATATATATATATATATATATATATATATATATATATATACAGGGTTACCTGACCGAATGTTCGGGGGCCCTCGGGCTGGCCCCCGAACGTTCGGGCGTTCGGGGTCCCGTTCGCGGGCCGAAGACCTCTAGGTTTAGCCTCCACCAAAAATTGCTTCGGAGCCTAAAAATAAGTTGTTTTTTCTGGATTTTTTTTTGTGAGTTCACTATGATGTAACCTACACGCCTGTAAATGTTGAACCCATTATGCTAAGCCAAAAAAACAATAAAAATCGTCAAAGATGGGGGTGTCAAAACGTTCTCGCCCACTCACTGTTTTGTTTTTTTTCACTTTTAACTTTTTATTTTCACTTTATTTCAGGGCCTACAAAATTTTATTATTTCTTGAAACATTTTTAACGAGTTATTGATTATGTAAACAACAAATCTGTCAATTTTCTGGGCATTTGTCAATGCCAAAAAATAATTAAGAATCGGCATAGATGGCGGTGTTGAAAAGGTGCTGACACATTCACTCATTTTAATTCTCTTTTTATTTTTTTTTTATTTTTATCGTAGTGTTTATTTTCTCTATTTGATTTGTAATTCAAATTTGGTAAAGAATTTGGATGTTGTGCCCATGCAAATGTTGTTTAGTTTATTTTTCTCCATAACATATTTGTTTTTCGGAATTGTTCGATTTTTTTTTTTTTTTTTTTTTTTTTTTTGGGTCCACGTTCGGCCTGAACGACCGAACGCCTTCCGAAGGTGTCCCGTACGTTCGGGCGTTCGGGTCCGGGCGTTCGGCCAGTCCCGAACGCCGACAACCCTGTACATATATATATATTAACTACATTGTCTTTTGAAGTTATCATGCGTAGAATGATAATAAACTTGAAGCAGATCTCTGGACTTTTTTTTTTTTTTCCCCCCTTTTAAAAAAAAATCACGAATCTACTTAGTTTGCTCGAGAATCGAGATTGCTTTACCTAGGAAACCGAAGCGTGTTTTTTTTTTTTTGTCGATTGGGATGGGTTGCAAAGCACCACGAGTTGCAATGCAATACCTCTTGAGTTTTTACTTTCAAGAGCGGATTTATCAATGTGGAATACACGAATACTCACTTCCTGTTTACCCTTAAGAGCCCTAGACTAAAATTTGTAATTGTGAAGAATATGACAAGCCATCCCATGTACTTAAAAATTCTCCTAAATTGAGTCGCCCTACTCGAATAAGCGATATCAACCTTTGTTCCTCGGATATAAATATCGTGGTCGGCTAGGAAAACCACAACGGATTGAAAAGTAAATTTTGAAAAAACGAAATTTTTTTGAAACTAGGCGATAATCCTTCTTTCTTCGTAGAGAAACAAAGTTAGTGATGCAAGCAAGACTAACAAAACCATTGAATAGGAAAATTTAACCCGAATTTTGAATATTTATTCAATGTTCTACCTCTGGAGACACTCAACCTAAATAAAACAGTTTCGGGATGCCTTCTCTGGCGGAATTCAATCTCCTTGAGAAGGCGAGTTCAAGAGGTGTGGTTTAAAAGATTCAAGCATCAACACACAAATTTCAGAGAA